ACGTAGATCGGAAGGTCTTTAAGATACGATGGAGCCTGATCATTAAGACTTTTATATGTCAGAAGCAGGATTTTAAATTGGATCCTTGATTTTACAGGAAGCCAATGGAGAGAAGCTAATACTGGAGAAATATGATCTCTTTTATTGGTTCCTGTCAAAATAAAGGTGATAAAGGTCAGCACATCCTTGGCACAAGTTCAACAAATCTGGACTTTGCTCACCTTACTGCATACATCAGCAGAGGACTGAGGTAACACATCACTTACACAGTGTTGAAAGAAATGCAGCAAAAGCTGTTAGCAAGCTAACATGTCAAGGCCTACTGTTAGCATACGTGCCGTGTATGTTAACACCATGTGAATGTTGGTATGTTGATGAAGGTTACATGAATACTGTTGAAGAAATTTTACTCATCATCCTCATGTGAAGTTTGCTGTAGTGGGTGTTTGTTAGTATTCCGGTATACGATAAGCTTACCAACACAGAACATGAGTCTGTGAAGGTGGACCGACCCTGAACATCTGCAGAGTCACACATTTATAGGGTAAGTCAGAGGGTAGGGGGGGGGGCTGTATGTAAATACAGAGGTGAATAGAGGCAAATTAACATGCAGTTGCTAATCAAATGACCGGAGGTAAGAGGGGCAATGAACCACAGGTGATGAAATCGGAGTCAGGTGACCAGACGGGTGGTGGAGTTGGGGTTCTGATAGTATACAGTTTCTAATCAAATGACAGGAGGTAAGGGGAAACACATGACAAAAGGTGATGGGAAAACATATGGCAACAGGGAATGAATTCAGGGGTCTGTGACCATCAAAATAAAAGAAAATGACTTTCTTCATCAATACACACACTAATTAGTTTCGGTGTCATGAACTTGAATGTTGGAGAAGTCAAAATTTTAACCCTCTGAACTCCAAACAGTTTCTGTGCATGTCTTGTTCCTGTAATATCTTTACTCTCTGTGGACTTATTTTACATAGCACAGCAATGGCTGGAGGTATAGAAAACACAGAAATGTCTTTTGAGAAACTTAACAAAGTTATAGTGTCATATCTCGCAAAACTAAAGTTGAATTTCTCTCATTGTTTTCTATTATTTACTTTGATTATTTAGAACTGAAAGAAACTTTCCCAAAGCACCTCAGGTGTTACCAATATTGGGAAAAAAGAACAACTATGGTGATGATCTACTACTTACATTCCATATTGTCACCTGTCTACTCTGTGTAAACAGCCTGCAGTTCAACTGAGT